ATTTGCACCGTGTCCAATTGTACTGTGTCCAAGTGAAGGCCACTCGCGAAAATTGCTAACAACTCCCTGTCATAGGTGCTGTAGTTTTGCTCGGTTGGAGAGAGTTTCCGCGAGAAGAATCTGACGGGCTTCCATGTATTGTTTTGGCATTGTTCGAGGCTCGCTCCAATTGCAAAGTTGGAAGCGTCGGTCGTGAGTGCGAGTAAGGTGAGATGAACGTAGTATTGGTTATGTTTACGATGCTCTCCTTGCAGTCGTTAAAAGCTCGAAGCGATTTTGTGTGCCATAGAATCGGAGTTTTGTCGTTTTTCACAGATTCCTTAAGATGAGCGTTGAGAGGAGCTTGTAACTGAGCACCGTGTTGAATACACCCTCGATAGTAATTCAACATGCCCAGAAATCGACGGAGTTGAGCAACGGTTTCGGGCCTTGGAAAATCGAGAATCGCCTGGATTCGATCTTGCGGCGCTTTGTACCCGTCTGACTTGATGAGATAGCCGAGAAATTGAACTTCGTTTTTTCCGAGAACACTTTTCGATGTGTTGATCGTGAGCCCGTGTTCCTGTAATCTTGAAAAAACTGCGCGCAGGTGTGTTTCATGTTCGTCGAGTGAGTTCGACATGATGAGAATGTCGTCGATGTATATGTAAATGAACGGTAAGTCGCGTAAAATAGAGTCGACGTAACGTTGACAGGTTTGAGTGGCGTTTCGTAAGCCAAATGGCATAACGACGTATTAATACAAACCGAACGGTGTAGTGATCGCTGTTTTTTGAATGTCTTCAGGAGCCATGGGGATCTGATGATAGGCCCTCATGAGGTCGAGCGTAGAGAAAATCATCGAGGAGTGTAGTCGTTCGAATAGATCTTGGATGAATGGCGGAGGATATTTGTCGGGAATTGTTTGTGCATTCAACTTACGATAGTCTCCGCACATTCGCCATCCACTTGATTTTTTGGGAACCAGATGAATCGGACTGGCCCATGGACTGCTTGACAGCCTGATGATTCCGTTGTCGAGAAGAAATTGAATTTCGACCTTAGCGATCGCGTATTTTTCACCCGACAACTTTCGAGGTCTTTCTGCGGTCGGTTGTCCCGTGGTGAGAATGCGATGTGAAATGGGGCAGCGTGCGTCGGTTTGCCTGACCTTGTGCTCCTGTGTGATGCTGACGTATTCGTTGAGAATTCCGTTGAAGTCAAGATTGGAGTGAATGGTTGAAATTCCGCATACGTGTGCTGGTAAAATTTCGCCTCGTGTCGTGAGAGATGTAGAGTTATCGATGAGACGTTTATTCTTGAGGTCGATATGGTCATAATGAACTAGAAAATCGGCTCCAATGATAGCTGATGTGACATCGGCGACGATGAAGACCCATTTGAAGGCACGGCGTAGACCGAGATCTAGCTGAAGAATCTTATCGCCGTATGTTTTGATCGGTGTATCGTTTGCGGCACATAATTTTGATGTACTGACCGTATTTGGTGAAAAGACGAGCCTCTTCGGGAGAACGGAGACGATGGATCCGGAATCGATCAGGAATTTTATATTCGTCGATCGATCGAAGATGTGAAGGCGGAGTTCGCGAAGTTGGAGGTCTATGTCGTTGTTGTTGCCGTCGCAGACCGCCTGTACAAACGACGGCGAGCTTAGTTTCCCTGGTTCTGTGGAACGAAACTGCAGGGTTTTGTACAGCGTTGAGCTTCTACACCGAATCGATGATGGTAATAGCACACTCCGGAGCGCACCGGGGTTGACGAGCGAGTTTAGCTTCTTGACCGAGAGCGAGATCGGTTGTTCTCACTTTGTGTGTTGAACTGAAGCTCTGAGAATTTTTTGGTGGTTGTTTCGATGAAGGTAGTGAGCACTTTTTGTAAATTGTCCATCCTCTTCTCGAGTTTGAACATTGCCGAAGGATCGTTGTTGCTGTTGGAAATTTTTTGCACCGCCATGACGCTAGAATGAGAGATTGTGTCCAGTACACGGTCGGCTATTTCGGCGAGGCCATTGAGGTCAATACCCTCTGACGCGACGAGTATAGGACGGATTTGAGTAGGCATGCGGTCGAGCCATAACGAGCGGAGAACGTCCTCCTTGAGATCGTCTGCGGTTAACTCTCACATCTCACGTGAAAGCTGCGACGGCTTTCGGTCACCCAACTCTAGTTCGCGTAAGAGCTTGTGCAATCGCTTATCCCGAGAATCTGATACTCGTTGAATTATTGCATTTTTTAAACATGCGTACTTGCCTGTGTTTGGTGGGTTGTACCGGATGTCCGAGATTTTTTTTAGCGTGGCGGAATCGAGCGCTTTCAGCGTTGTACTATATTTGGTTGCGTCGCTTGTGATGCGATACGCTTGAAATTCGACTTCAATGAGGAGAAACCATAGATCCAGTGTGTCTTTCATGAACGGTTGCAGCTGTGGTTTTTGAATCGTTGAGATGAAATTTTCGCCGAGAATGTTGAATGACGGATTCGTGTTTGCATCGGCAGCGGCATCGAAATTGATGAGAGGTGGATCGTTGTTGATTGAGGACTCTTGGGTCTCTGCCTTGTGTGGCGAGAATGACGCGGATGATGCCGATTCATCATTTCCGGTATTTTTTTGCGGAGTGCGTTGTGTAGTCATGGCGTCGAGAGAAAAGGAAAAAGAAAAAAAAGAACTCGTTGCGCGAGACGCGTGTTGTTGTATGAACGAATATGGCGGACGCCAAGTAAAACGACACGAGGAAG